GGGGGGTGCCGGGGGGCTCGGCCGTGGGGGGGCCTGACCCCACGGACGCCACGCGGGTGGTCCCCAGTGTTGTCCTCGGCAGGCTGGTGGGGTGTAACCCGACTCCGTGACTGGTTTTAGGAGGTGCCGGGGTCTCCGGTGCCGTCGAGGTCACGGCGTGACCCGTGACTGTTGGGGAGAACCCTGGGAGCCCCACGGAGGTCCCCGGGGGGGAGGTTTCTGCGCCCCTAGAAGGTCCAGTCTGAGGCGCACTGGCTGTTGCGGGGGTTCCGGTGGGGGGGCGCGTCCCAGGGGAAGTGGTCAGGGCCAGGACCGGGCGGCTTGTGCTGGCCTCTGCCTTCCCCAGAGGAGGTGACGTGGACACCGCTGTGCTGGTCTCTGTGGCAGGATGGGGGGACCCAGGGGCCGTCGCTCCCGGCTGGCTGAGGTGGGCAGTGCCAGTGGGAGGGGCTGAGCTGGCCTCTGACCCAGGCTGGGTGGGCAGCGAGGCTGTGGGCGCCAGGCCGTGCGGAGCAGCCGGGGAGCCAGCCAAGAGTGTGCCCGCCTCTGCACTGGACGGGGCGGCCGGCGAGCCTGTGGTCTCTGGTTCGGCCGAAGAGAGCGTCCACGCTGTGACCGCGGCGCTGGCCTGTGTCCAAGGACCAGCAGCCTGTGAGGTGGCCACCCATGCTGTGCCAGGGGTGGCCGTCTGAGTCCCCGCAGCCGACACGGCTCCTGTGCCCAGGCGGGAGGTCGTGGGGAATGAAGGGGCTGACCCGCTCGGGGGGCCCGCGGCCGTGGGTCTGGACTCTGCAGGGGGCGTGGCCCAGGAAACTGCTGGACCCGGCTTGCTGGGGGAAGCGACCGGTGAGGCAGTAGTGACCAGTGAGACAGTAGTGACTAGTGGGGTGTTAGTGACCACTGTAGCACTAGTGACTGGGGAGGCGGTAGTGACTGGTGAGGAGCTAGTGACCGCTGTGGTGCCAGTAGCCGGTGAGGTGGTAGTGACCAGTGAGGTTGTAGTGACCAGCGAGGCGGTAGTGACTAATGGGGTGTTAGTGACCACTGTGGCACTAGTGACCGGGGAGGCGGTAGTGACTGGTGAGGTGCTAGTTTCTATTATGGCACTGGTGACTGGTAAGGTGGTAGTGACCGGTGAGGCGGTAGTAACTGGCGAGGTGGTAGGGACCGGCGAGGTAGTAGTGACTGATAAGGTGGTCGTGACGGGGGAGGTGGT